AGTAGCAGCAGCAGCAGCAGCTTTTATTGTAATATTATCATCATCATCATCATAAATCATCAGCATCACTATATCAAATTTAGTGTTTACTCATGATACTTACTTTTTTCCCTTCCTTTCTCCCCTTTCTATTACGTGAACGCCTTCAACGTCAACACCAAAACGACCCTCCTGCTCCAACACACGCGGACCACTAACCCACTCGACAGAAATCTGTCTACTGACCAACGCCCGGCGCGTGGCCAGTGTCCGAGCGGAGACGTACGCCTGCCTGTACTCTCTGGCCGTGGAACACTTCACGGCGGTGCTGGAGCGCTATCCCGTCATGAGACGCACCATGGAGAGCGTGGCGGCCGAGCGACTCACCAAGATCGGCAAGAACCCCAGCATCGTCAGCAGTCGCGCCGATCTGGAGGAGGACCAGAAGATGGTTAATGAGATCGTCATGGAGTCCACGCCCATCCCCACTAGCGCGAGTGAAGACGAAGACCGGGACTCCGACGAGAGCTCGGATGGGAGCAAACAGAAGAAAAAGACAGCGTTCAAGTTTGACTTCTCTACGAAGCTGCATAAGATTTCAGAAGAGAAGAAGAATAAGTCGCCGAAGGAGCACAGTAAGGAGAGGGATCTCCTAGAGTTCGGGGAGACGAAGCACCACCATGGTCACATGTGGGCGAAGCTGCCTAAGGTTTATTCAGGTTCGAACCTGTTTGGTCTGAAAGTGCCGACCCTGCCCGAGAGGAAACGATCAGGTAGCGTGGGCGATGCCTTCGGCTTAGCTAGCACTCGCCTCACGCAAAGCTTGGACGAGGTGGAGGAGGATGAAATTCAGGAGCCGGAGGATAAGCGACGAGGAAGCTTCCTCAGCGGACGCATCCTCAAAGCGTTTGAACTGAAAGATCTCAAAGGCAAACACGACAAGAAGGGCCACGCTCACTCTCCCTCAAAGGACGATAAGAAGCAACACTCGTCAGAGAACGAGGACAGTTTATGCCCCGCAGCTCCTTCGTCAGAAGACCACGCCAGTCTTCTCACACCGTGCGAGCCTAAAGAGACATCTGATTTTGCGTCTATTTCAATCCGCGAGGCCAACAAAGACTTTGACCCCCTCAGAACCTCGTCGAGTCATGGCCCTAAAAGCCCGTCGAGAAAGTCACCGACCGGCTCTGACGGCAAGAAGTATGTGGGAATGAGGTCCTTGAAATCGTCGCTAAAGTCTTGCACAGCTCCCATTCTCGCTAGCAGTGAGCCGGCTGAGATGACCGGCGTGGAGTGTTCTGAAATAGGCAGCAGTACAACACAGAGGTCAACAGATGGGGCGGGGCGGGATGAAGTTTTACCCAAGGCAGACGGCAAGGGAAAAGAAGCCAAGGCAAAAGACCAACAGCCCAAAGTTGTTTTTTTCACTGACCCAATAATCCATGCATACGACAGAAATGTAAGCAATAGTTGATACACACATAATTACCCGTATTACAAAACAGATGATCATGAATTTGTAAATTTTCTTTGCGATGAGATATTTATGCACTCAGTTTTGTTTACTGGCCTGATCCAGAAGGCACAGTGTCCAGTGTAGGTTCACCTTCAAGTTTAGTTCCAAGTGCACATTGAAACGAGAGACCGTTAGAATATGTAAACAAAACTATTAACGACTTTTAAACATTTCAACTGAGAAAAAAACACGGGATAAAAATTGTAAATCTAGCATCTTTCTTGAGTATATAGCCAACGTAAATGGAGGGGTTTAGTGAAAAACAGGATAAGTCCATTCTTAGAAAAAGATCAGGTTGCCAAACCGTAACTTACAAAAGTACTTAACTTTTAGTTTGTCCTTACTCGGTATTATTAGGATGTCGGGGGGGGGGGGGGGGGTGCAGGTTTCGGTCCTCTGCCAGGTGAAGGGCAACTCGGGTCACCCTGAAACGTCGCTGGCCAACGGGGTTCTGGTGAAGTTTGCTAAAAACCGAAGAAAGGATGAGCTTACAACAGTACTTGTAGAATATCTCTATGGAAGTACATGTATATATAATCAAGAGGAAAACCAACAAGGTAACCCATAAAGTACATTTTTGCATTATTAGCAAATCAAGTTAAGAACACGCCGTCTTCATAAAATTGTGAAATACAGGCTAGGTTGTGCTAGGATTAATGGGACTTAGCTTGTTTATCGCCTGGCCCCTTCAAATACATTAACCACTTCCCACTCCCTTGTATGTCATTTCTTGCATAGATTTATGAAACCAACTTTTTAAAAGAAACTATTCTTTTGTATATACTATATTATTGTCAGAGCTAAGCCTCTCTTCTACGATAAAACGTATGAAATAAACCAAAATCCTCGACGACTTGCATGTTGAAACCTTTGTTTACCAAAAGCTGAAGAGAGCTTCTTACTTTACATACTTTGAGCTTTCTTCTGCCTTCTAAGAACAAACTCTGCAACAATATCTGATCCAACCTTTTGACATAAATACCCTGCATGGGGCATTAACATATTTATTTCAGCATAATAAATAAAATGTGAGTTTGGATTGTGTTTATACTGGACAAATACTACACGCTTTGTTCTCGTTATACAGCTTTTATACAAAGTAGCTGTGCTTGTTTAGATTACAACTATGAAGTTGAAAAAATGTCCTTTCGATTGATCTAACTATCTGTCTATCTGTCTATCTATCTATCTATCTATCTATTTACCTACCTATCGATCTATCTATCTATCTATCAATCTATCTATCTATCTATCAATCTATCTATCTAGATCTATCTATCTATCTGTCTGTCTGTCAGTCTGTCTGTCTGTCTGTCTGTCTGTCTGTCTGTCTGTCTATCTATTTATCTCACAAAGCAGTTGTCAGTTTATTCCAATTTGATGACTGCTCTCCTAGCAAATAGCAGTTATTGTCATTCTATTCTTATATCTAAACAAAAAGCAATAACAAATTCATATGGTAATATTTATCGTAACAATGTGTTCAACCGGTTGAGGATCCTTAGGTCTAACGTAAAGGGTAACAATGTATTTTTCCACCAAAAGAAAATATCCATTCACATAGAGGCGCCTGTGAGCCCACCTCACCTCGAAAGCACACGAGATACCAGACGGTAAATGTAATGTTCCAAAGTCACATCACTATGCACTACTTTTGTTGTGTGAACGCGTTTTTCCCCTTTCGTTTAGTACCCATGTATAATCTCTTCTCATCATCATCTTGTAGATGACCATTCACTGTTGTTCTCATCATCAGATTACGACATCTTCATGACGCTTCATACCCATTTCACAGTATTCCATTTGTCTTAGGTAGATTCAAGACTTTTCAAACACCTATTAAAGCATGTCTTTCAGGGCTGAAATAGAAAAACATTATATGTATAGGTATAGGCACGCTTTGGTGTCTTCTGGTGTCAACCACTACATTGCTGACAGATAGTTATCCATAAGCTAAATCTAATGGAATATACCTATACAGAAAAAAACACAAATGGTTTGCTTATAAATTGTACCTTCGATTGTTCGACTGTCTAAGATTTTTTATCATGGGTATCATATGTGAATATATAATAGAATCAGTTCCAATGTTTTAATTGCTTTTTGCCTCTTAACATGCTGAGTAGTTCTATGTTAGAGAGAGAGAGAGAGAGAGAGAGAGAGAGAGAGAGAGAGAGAGAGAGAGAGAGACAGAGAGACAGAGAGAGAGAGACAGAGAGAGAGAGAGAGAAAGAGAAGAGGACATGGAGAGTGCCAGCGAAAGAGATAGAAACAATAAGACAGAGATTATGAGGAAGAGGAATAGAGGGAGGAAGAAGAGGAGGAGGGGAGGAAGTCGGAGGAGTGAGAAGAAGCGGGTAATTTGTGGATAACTGAATAAGTTTTGAATGGAAGCCAAGGTGCATTGTGTTTCCTTCAGGAAAAAGACATGACTTTAACTTCTAATTTGTGTGCAAAGGTGACAAAAAGAGACCTATGTAATTCAACATCATCACGTGTTGGAGACGTTGAAAAAATATAATAGATTATTTGTCTTAAAAAGCTAGTGCCTAACCTTACGTGCTTGACGATATCTTAGCTTTTGAAGAAGTGGTAGCTTATGTTTTAGTTTATAAATGAGGATATGTAGTATTCAGAAGAAAGACCTAACACTTGGGGGTAATAGTTGATTCTTGCGATGGCTGTTACAAACTCTGCTACACATCACATTTCAGGCAAGTTGTTAGGGTCTTATCACAGGAGAACAGAGCCGGAGTTTTGTGTGGTTCAGTACTGAAAACATTTAGCATTGTGACCTGAAGGTCCTTTGTTTAATTCCTTTTATGATCTCTCAGATATAATTTAAGCTCAGTGAGTTTTCTTCAGTGCGGGTTCTAACTACTGAGCTTCGCCCTTCTTACTTTGTCTAATTTTTTAAAATTCGTTTCACCCCCCCCCCCCACCTCCCCACCCCCCCTTATTTTTTCTTTTATATATCACTTGCTCCAACTAGGCACAGAGAGGGATAGATAGATAGACAGACAGACAGACAGACAGACAGACAGACAGACAGACAGACAGACAGACAGACAGACAGACAGACAGACAGACAGACAGACAGACACATAGATAGATAGATAGATAGATAGATAGATAGATAGATAGATAGATAGATAGATCGATAGATAAATAGATAGATCAGTTCATTGATCGATTGATTGATTGATTGATTGATTGATTGATTAATTGATTGATTGATTGATTGTGTGGGAGAGAGAGAGATAGAAAGGATGAGGCAAGGACAGAGAAATGAGTGAAAATCTAAAATAGGGTTTATAATATTATGGTTGCAATATATTGATCAATCATTTTTGTATTCGAATAATGTAATTAACCATTAAAGGTCACTAGGTGTGAAAACTTCATCTTACCAAATTTGTTATAGATTAATAACAATAATTGTTCTGTACTGTCACATCGTCTCAACGTCAATAAAAATGTGTTAGAATTAAGTATCCATCTGTTTTAACATGTTCCAAAAACCATGCTCAAGAAGTCTCACACAAACATTTATTCAAAATTGACGTGTAGAAAAGTAGTTGCAGGTCAACAATGTTCCTCTAATCCATCCCATTTCTCTGACTTAGTACAATATCATGTACCAAGCTTTTTTTCCTTGAAGTTGGAAGACCCTTTAAAATTCCTCTTCAGGCACTTTCCCAGACTTTACGTAACATAATGTGCATACGATTTGGCTTGTTTTTTTTTTTTTACTGCAGCCCCTTTATCATGCTTATTGGATCTACTAAAAATTGAAAGGGTAATTTTTTTTTAACATAATTTAATTATAAAGAATGTAAGTCACGTTTTACCGAAAAGAAGAGTTCTCAGTACTTGTATGACGACACATCAACACATTGTAACTCTTTGAGACACATACCAGGGGAGACAACAAAACACGGCATTTGTATGAAATGACAAGATCAGAGTTAATTCATTTACAAATTACCCAAACCCTGCAGCATAGTCTTAACTCCAGCTTTTGTTTATTGTTATTTTGTTTTAATTTAAGGTTTGTCTGGAAATGACCATAAGGTAGCTTAGGTCCTTTATTTTTCTGACCCCAATCAGTTACACAGAAAATAGCTTATCTACCTCATTGTTTTAGACACTGAAACAGGGGCT